GCTCCCGATACCCTTTTACCAAGATTCCCAGATGCGCCCCCGAGGGCTACTAAGATCCAGGGCGACTCCAGGATTCGATGCAGCGCCGATGGAACCTAGACGGTCCGAGTAGACCACCAGAGGGTCATCTGAATTTCACTCCGAGACCTGAGATAGAACGTGGAACGCGTAGTCCTCGCCGTCCCGTTCGGTCTGCGCAGGAAGGCGGGGGGAAGCTTGACAGCCCCCTGAAGTTGGCCAGGTCTGTCCACCTGCACAATGGACCAGCCCGCTCGGCTGAGGCCAGAGAGTGAGGTGTGGTACGCACTCCCGTCCGCGAAAACAGCTCCAGAAAACCTCCACCCCACCGGGACCCCAACCCTCGACTTGCGTCTTTTTGTTGTTTCTGCTGCGTCTTCTTCCTCTCTGGCGTTGCCCAGCAATTTATGCTTGCAGTGAGCAGTGCCGCGTTTGGCGGGCAGTGCGGCTCGCACCCTTCCTCCTGTCCCTCCCTGGGGCGCAAGCCCCCGCGCCGGTCGTTCACGATGCTGCCCCCCTGATCGCCCGCGTCACCCCCCCCGCCCGAGGGGTGGCGCTGGGGGGAGAAAGAGGTCCTATCCTCCCTGCACCCGGCGCTGTCTGCCCGAAGGTGGGCAGGGAAGGCCGAGCGAGCAGCCGGGGCAGGGCGGGGTGTGAGAGACCACCGCCATTCCTGCGTCGGCTGCTTCCTCAGAGCGGCATGGCGGCGCGACTCTGAGCTGCGGGGTCCGTGGAGCCCGCCGGTCGCGGCCCGCGGCCCGCGCCGACGCGCGGACTCGTGGCTCCGCCAGCGGACGACATGAAAGTGAAGAAGCAAATCTGCGAGCATGCTCTGACTGGGGAATGGCCCTGGGGGAAAAAACGGAAGGGGCTGGGGAAGAGACGGCGAGGAAAGAGCTCCGCAGGTAACTCACCACATGTGTCCCTGACTCTGCTGGCAGACTCAGGCAAGTGCGTTGGGCAAGCCTCCCTCCTGATTTGGACCAAACGGGGACTCAGACCAGGCACCCGAGATGCGACACAAGGCATGTAAGCCTGAGGACTCCAGGGAGGACTCCCGAACACGCTTACAGTAGAGTCCACGAGAAAACTCAAGGAGGAATATTCATCACCTGGACAACAAACGAAAAAACCGTTGGCATGCTGATGCCGACACGGGCCAAGAGGAGGAGGAGGGCGAGGAGGAGAAGGGGTGAGGAGGAGCAGCAGGGGGGCGAGGATGAGGATGAGGATGAGGATGAGGATGAGGATGAGGATGAGGATGAGGAGGAGGAGGAGGACAGTGAGGACAGTGCTGAGAGCGTGCAGGTGAATCACGAACACGCCTCGAAAAAAAAAAAACGAGAGAGGGCCCTCATCCAACAAGGGGCGCTCTCCGCGCCGTGCGCGGGGCAGGGGAGCAACGGTGCGAGGGTCACTAACGGCGCAACGCCGGGCAGTCCCCACTCGCACCGCGCCCCCCGCCCGCACCCGCCCACTATTCAGGTGCCTCGGGCTCGGGCGCCTGCTGAGCATCGCAGGCACCCCGAGCTCCGAGAAAACAAGCGGCTCGAGGGGCTCGCCCGCCTTGGGATGCAGGCCCCTTCGAGCCAGCTCGAGCATCGACGCGATGGAGGCCAAGACAGCCCGCTGCACTTAAGGGGCCCTTAAGTGCAGCGGATCTGCTCCTTCCGTGCGCGGGGCTGGGGAGCAACGGTGCGAGGGTCACTAACGGCGCAACGCCGGGCAGTCCCCACTCGCACCGCGCCCCCCGCCAGCACTTCCGCCCACTAGTCAGGTGCCTCGGGCTCGGGCGCCTGCTGCGGCATCGCAGGCACCCCGAGCTCCGAGAAGACGAGCGGCTCGAGGGGCTCGCCCGTCTTGGGATGCAGGCCCCTTCGAGCCAGCTCGAGCATCGACGCGATAGCTCCGTCCCCCCCACTCCCAGCTCCCGCCGACCCCGTCCCAGCCCTCTTGCACGCTCGAGACAGGCCGACCGACAGCCGATTGGGGCGCACAGCGTGCGCCCCGCACTTAACACAGATCAAAACTCGATCCAAGGCCTGGACCTGGTGTCCTGGCCCGACCTCCTGGGGGTCGCATGCACGGGAGGCCAGAGACTTCAACGACGAGGCCGTCGCTGCAAGCCTCCAGCAGGCTCGACATCGAATAGCTCCCCCAGCGAAGACCACAAAGTCGTGATCGGTCGGCCGCCGCGGACGGCGGGGCCGAAAGACAGCCTTCGGAGGCGCACGGAGTATCGGGGTGGAGAGGCGGGCCACGCGCTCGGCAGCCCAGGCCAGACAACGCATCGTGTCCTGGGCCCGAAGCAGAGAAAATTTGTGAGCCTTGACCACGGAGGTGGATCCAAGGAAATCAGCCGCTGCCACGCGGGCGAAAACATCAGCCCACATATTACCGAAAAAATGCTCCAGGGGCTCCTGGGAGGCCAGGCAGGCCTCAAACCCCTCGAGGACGGTCCGATGGGCCTTCGTCCAAACAAACACGGGCCTGACAGGGTCGCCTCTATACAGCTCGTGGATGCTCCGCCAGATGGACGCGTGAGGCGCTCTGGCAGAAGCATGACGACCCTCCCAGGCCATTCCCTCGACCTGCAGCTGTAAATGATCAGTCACGTACGTGGCTGGCCTCTGGGCCCTCTGCAGGGCCTTGAGACCAGCAACGCGCTCGGCCCTGGGCACCGTCTGGATAGGGCCCCCCAGGCTCCCGAACAAAGCTTTGTATGGCCACAGGTCTCGGGTCAATGCAACGACGGCCCAGCCACAGCGCCGTTCCTCAGGGAAGTCACTTTCAAGACAGGACCCGTCCCCGTACAACTTCGACGGCCACGGCATGTCGATCGCCCCCCACTCGCGCTCAGCCTGAGCACGTGCAGGCAGCGGCCTGAAAGCAGGCCTCAGGGGCAGCGCGTAGAGCACGTCGACGGCCGAGAAGTCCTGCACCTGGCCCCCGTCGCGCCACGGGGCTGCCTCCAGGATGTCCTTCCTCCTCTTGGCCACCTCCTCGGGGTACGGCTCCGTCTCCTCGTCCTCCTGCTGCTGATGCAATACCGTGCAGCCGAAGATCTCATGCTCGAGGTCGCAGCAGGCCTCCCCGCAGAACTCGCACGAACCGTCGCCGCCGTAGCCAGCCTGCATGCGGCGCTGCGGCGACCAGAACCCGTTGGACTGCAGCTTGGCCAGAGCCCCTCTGTGGCCAGGCGCCAAGGAGGCGTGTCCCAGTCGAAGCGCACGAAGCCACACATGCTGCTGCCGCCTGCCGTCACCATCGGCTGGGGGCGCCTCAGGCAGCTGGTCGAGGATACGATGGCTCTGCCAACGGTCGAGGCTGCGACGCAGGAAAAACAGCACCTCACTGGGACAATACTGCAGCAAACTGATATGCAGGCCCTCATCGTCAACCAAGATTGTAGAACTTGCCATGTTCCAGTTGACTCTCCTGAGGGACAACCACAAGGCCGAAAGCGGGCCCTGCGCACTGGCCCACGTGACGTGAGTGTGGCGGGCTTCCCAGGAGTCACGCAAGCCCATCCAGGCCCGCTGCAGTCGGGAGAGCGTCACACGCCCATCCCACACCCACGCCGCGTACTGCCCCACGATGCTGAAGGTAGCGTGGAATATGGGGTCGAAGCTCCACTGCTGCGCGGCCAGGTACAGCGTCAGGGAGCCCGACCCTTTGTAGCCACAGAAGACGCCAGCCATGGTCCTCATCTGCTGCAGCTCCGTGTCGCTGATGCCGCTGACCGTGGCTCCGTGCCCCACGGATGGCAGCACACCCGTGGCCCAGAGCCGAGCCGCCCGCTGTCGTCCTGCTCCCTTCTGCAGTGCTCGAACGCTGGCCTTCTTTCCGTGCATGGCCTTCAGGCGTCCCTTCTGCACGGCCCTTGTGGCCGACGACCCAGCTAGGTCGTGGCCAAGATACCGCATGTGCCTCTTGCCAGCGATCTTCAGCAGCCTGGCGTACTTCTGAAAGTGGTAGCTGGTGCGCCTGGACGTCGTAAGGTGCCCAGACTTATCCATCTGCAGCACCAGCCCGAGGGGCCGGACAGCCCTGCAGAAAGCACGAGTGGCAATGGCCATTTCTCGCACCCCGCTCGGGTCGTTGCCGACCCAGCACAGCGCGACGTCGTCCACCAAGTCCTTGGGCTGAACCTGAGGAGCGACCGACATCGTCTGGCGAATGCTGCGAGTCAACAACACCATGAGAAGCGTAGTGGCGTGGGTGCAGCCTGCCAGGATGCCCTGATACGCCCTGCGCGCCACTGAATACGAAGAATACGAGTGCACCGAGCGCAGCTGCTGGTACATCTGCACAAGCATGAACGCCATTCGCATAGGGTATCCACTGGCCCTGCACTCCAACAAAATGGCATCATGCCTGACCAGCTCGTAGCATTTGAGCATGTCCAGCAGCACAATGATGGCGTCGTCATCGCACAGGGTCGCCATCTCCTTGGTGAGCGCCAAATCAAAGGCCGCATCACTCGACGACTTGCCTCCAGTGTGGCCCCAGACCTCTGGTAGCGCATGGGCCTTCTCCCACGCTGCCGAGACAGGCCGCCTCGCCCGTCCCCAGATCCTGACCAGCGTGTTCATCAGCACAATCAGGCGCTCCCCACCCCCTGGCTTGGGGAGTCTCACGAGCTTCGAGAGGAATCTGCCGTCTGGCCACAGCAGGAGGTGCTCGCACCGCTCGAAGAGGCGCGCCATAGCCGTCAGCGCCCCGTGGGAGAGGTGCTCCATGGCCCTGGGCGCGATGTTGATCTGCCCGACGCCTGTCTGCCAAGAGAAACAACGGATTGCCTTGAGTACGTCGGCCGCCTCAAGCCTTGGCAGCTGCTCCCAAGTGTCAGCATCAACAGGTCGGCGAGCCAGCTCACCGCCATGCCGCACCCAGAAGCTTTCCCAATACTCAAGCTTACGATCAGCCAGTACGTACCCATGTTGTAGCCCATTGCCTCCGTCCACGATCTCCTGGAGAGCCTTGGGCTTCATGAATCGGTGAGCTCCCTTGGCTCCAGCCGCAAAAGCTGCCTGCGCCCACTGCCTCCAGCTCTGCATCACGGCCTTCTCATGCTTGGCCTCAGCAACGGAGGAGATACTCAGGATGCGGTCGACCTGCTGCTCGAAGTCTGCCTGCGCTAAGGCAAGTATGCCACGCGAGAAGAAGCCGACGGCTTCGGCGTCCAGGTGCGGCCAGACTCCCTTCCTCCGCCAGATTCTCTGGAAGAAATTCTCGCACTCCAGCAGGTGGCGCGCCGCCTTGGAGTGCACGGCGTCCCACGATAGGTCCTCGCCTGCCCGTCGCGGGGGCTGGTGTCGCTGAGCTCTCGACCGAGGCCGACCACCATCGGAGGAGAGACCAGCCACTCCGACGACCTCCGCAGCAGGGGGTGCCCCATCGCCCAGGCCAGGCACACCGTCGACGTGCGCCTCGCCGACGCTGCCGAGCTCGAAGACCTGCTGCGGGCGTAGCTGGAGCACGAAGCTCTGCAGGGCCACTCGAACCCTCCTGAGGTGACGAGCCCAGCGCGCAGCCTGCGCCCAGGCCTGGGTGTCCGCCGACCTCCTGCTCCAGGCACCTTTCACGACAGGGTGAAAACTCGCCAGCTCGAAGGTCGGGGGGCCTGGCACCGTGGAGTACCCCGCCACGTCCTTCACGACGTCGTAGCGGCCCCGCAGCTCGAACTCGATGCCGCTGAGCACGACGTCCCAGGCCCTGGTGATGCCCTCGCTGTGCGACGCGCTCTGGATGATCGCCAAGGTCGGGTCCCAGTCGGGGGGGAACCTCGCGCACCCCGCCGCAGGCGGCCTCCGAAAGCCGCGTGGCTCGACAAGCCTCCTGACCTTCGCGTCAAAAGCCGTGGCGGAGAGCTCCATGGTCACTGGTAGATGCGGCCACGTCTCCGCGTCGACGACCACTGGTTGCCGAACGCGAGGCAGCAAACGGCAAGAAACCATGAACATGTCAATGGTGCGGCCAGGAAGGCTCTGAAGACAAGTCGGCTCTCTCGGCGCCAGCACCACGCCATTGGCCGACTGGAGCCAGGACAACGGGCCGAGCTCGCCTACCTCCATGTTGAAGTCGCCTCCTACGATCCACGGAACACCCATGGCCTCCAGCGACCTGACATACTGGTACAGCTTGTACAGCATGGCCAGGTTCTCGGGCGACAGCTTGACGTCCACAATGAAATAGCACGACAGCATGACGAAGCCGCCCTTCACCCCAGCGTGGACGTGGGCCGCCATCATCCTGCCTTCCTGCAGCACGTGACTGTCCAGGCCTGGGGGTTTGGTGATGACCACCCGCAGCGGGGCCAGCACCGCAACCCCGCCTCTGCTGCCAACTCCCTGCCCAGGTAGGGCGGGCTCCCATATACCATGGTACCCAGCAGCTCTTACTTTATTCTGCAACTTCGCCAAAGCATCGCCCTCGGCCTTGGCATGATGTTCCTGCACCGCGATGCATAAACTCGAGCACGTGGGCAGGAAGTCGACGAGCGGGCCGCCCGAGGACACGTTCACGGTGGTGATACTTGAAACCGACGCCATGGTGCGACAAAGGAGGACGAACCACACAAGACACGCAAAACATCGCCGTGGAGCCATGCTAGGCAGGGGTGAGCCTGGGCCTCTTGACCTTGGCACCCCAACGCATGAAGATCTCCTCCAGCCTGTGCTTCTCGCCCCCAGCCGCAACGACTTCCTCCATGAACTCAGGGTCGTCGGAGAAGGCAGATGGCTGTGGTGTGCGAGGCGCTGCCGCGTCGTCCTGCCGCTCGGCCTGCTCGACGTCGGGACCAGCCTCGGCCCCAGCATCCGCCTGCGCCTTCTGGGCAGCCAACTTTGCCGCCTCCTCCTCCTGCAACCTCTGCAGCTCCTGGAAGCTCGCCGTGAGGCTGCCCGACAGCTGGTGATCGGCGCCCAGGCTCTGGAGCAAGATCCCGAGGCCCTCGAGCGTGGCACCAACCCCCTTGATCGGCTCGTCGAGCGACGCCTTGTCGCCAGGCGTCGGAACCTGCCCTTGAAGCCTCTTGCGCTCCTGGTCCAGCTCCTCCATGCTAGCGTCGAGGGCCGCCAGCTTGTCCCGAGTGAGCCGTTCCTTCTCCTGCAGGTCGCGCAACTGCGCCTGCAGCCCATCGAGCTTGGTCTGCTGGTCGTCGCGCAGCTTCTGCAGCCTGGTGAACTGAGTTCCCATCTCGCGCAAGCGCTGTCCGAGCGGTCGGGACTCCGCCACCCTAGCCCGCAGCTCGGCCTGCTCGGCCAGCAGCTTGTCGCGCGTGGCCACGACCGACGGCTCGGTGATGCCCTTGAGCTTGCCGATGAGGTCGCCGACCTCGCGTAGCCTGTCCTTGGCGACGGACTCGGGGCCGTCTCCGTCCGCGGCCGGCTCCATCTGCACGTCCTCCCCGCCAGGCGGCGGCCTCTGCACAGCGGCAAGCCGCTTGCGGGCCTCGGCGAGCTCGGACTTGAGCTTGGCCACCTTGACGGAGTCGTCCCAGTAGCCGTTGCCGCTGCCGCCCTGATTGCCCTTCTTCCGCTGGGAGGGGGCCGCGGGCTGGCGCACGCTGTGGAAGACCAGTCCCTTGCCCAGCTTGCACTTCGCACACTGCCGCGCCTCGGCATGATTCCACCACGGTCTCCCCGAGGGCCCGCAGCAGCTCTTGCAGTACCAAGGAAGCGCCTGCTCCGAACGGTAATGCGGCGGTGGCATCTCCACGACTCCAGGCAGCAGCACACACGGTGGGCCGTGGCAGCGCGATCTGGAAAGGACTGGGTGTGGGCGCCCAACTCCCACGGTGAAGGCGAACGGTGGTCTGGCCGCGGACTAGCGGTATCCGTGCGGTCCCCAGGGGAACCAATCATCTTGAGCCAAAATGGCTACGGAGTGAGGAGGAGGAGGAGGAGGAGGAGGAGGAGGAGGAGGGGGAGAAGGAGATGGAGCAGGACGAGGGGGAGGAGGAGGAGGAGGAGGAGGAGGAGGAGGAGGAGGAGGAGGAGGAGGAGGATGAGGAGGAGGAGGAGGACGAGGAGGAGGAGGAGGAAGAGGAGAGGAGGAGGAGGAAGAGGAGGAGGAGGAGGAGGGAAGGAGGAGGAGGAGGAGGAGGAGGAGGAGTGGAGTGGAGTGGAGTGGACGCCATCACGAGGTGATATCCAGAATCACTTGCCACCCGAAACTCGAGCTGCCTGTTGAGCTCGGGTGAGCGCCTTAGGCCACAAACCACGTTCCAACCGTCTGAGATATTCTCTTCGGGTGGGGTTCAGCAGCCCAGTGCAAGACGCTTTGAGATCTTTAGAAAGGAGCTCGTTACAGAAGAAACCACACGATGTACAATGCCACACCCCCAAACCGACGTGGAACGCCATCTTATGAGAAGGCCCCACCCAGCCCCCACAAAGATGCAAGGGTTGACCAGCGGGCAGATGCAAGACACCTGGGCTCCTAGGAACGAGTTCAAAGCAGGGGGTCGATCTCCACTCGGTGGCGGTGTCGATCGAGGCAGACCCCCGACATCGAAGACAACAGCGGCCATTCGGCCCGAAGGAGGAGGAGGAGGAGGAGGAGGAGGAGGAGGAGGAGGAGGAGGAGGAGGGGGGAGGAGGAGGAGGAGGAGGAGGAGGGGGAGGAGGAGGAGGAGGAGGAGGAGGAGGAGGAGGAGGAGGAGAGGAGGAGGAGGAGGAGGAGGAAGAGAGGGCGATAATCATACAGAGGGGGGGAGGAGGGGCAAGCGGAGATGGAGGAAAATGAAGAGAAGGAACTGGAGGAGGAGGGAGGATCATGACGTGTGGAGGAGGAGGAGGAGGAGGAGGAGGAGGAGGAGGAGGAGGAGGAGGAGGAAGGGGAGGAGGAGGGGGATGTGGAGAAGAAGGACTCTTTTAGCACATTCAATCCGCCGACTAAGCAGCACTATCGTACGCTAGAGCAGATATGGCCTATGATTGCTCGGGCGCCACATGCGCCTGCACGCTAGTACGTCGCAGGGCATGGCGGTGGCCCTGTCGCCTGTACAGGCTGCCGAGATACTCGCTTGCCTCCCAAGGAAAACTATCGCGATGGCACCGCGCGGACTGCCACCGCCGCACTGGCCGCGGAAGCGGCACGGTGGCCCACTTCCTTCTGACGCGGGCGCCACGCGGGCTGCCCTAGCCACGGGCCTTGAAAACGCACTCGCGGAAGCGGCACTGTGTAGGCGCCGCCAGGGCTGTCCTGGCCACGAGCGTCTGGCACTGCTGGCATGGCGCTCCTCGGCAGCTCCTGCCCCTCGGCCGGTGGGGCGCAGACGCGCCCGAGACGTGACAAAAAGAAGCGTCCATCCTGCCTGACACTCATCCCCAGTCCGCCTAGGCCTCCGAAGACTCCTCCGAGCCACTGGAAGTCGAGGCCGAACTGGACGAGGTGTCCACAGCCAGGCTCCCTCTGCTGGCATCCAGCTCCTGTGACTCATGCTCCCTCTGCGTGAGCATGTGGCCCCTGAACGTGATGAGCGCTTCCGTGCGCTGCTCAGGGCCCACACCCTGGAAGCCCGCCACGGTGCCTGCGCCGCGGGCGTGCCCCCGAAGTGCCTGGCAGGGGCAGCCCTGGGCCGGGCCGCCTCTTCTGCCTGTTTGGCAGGGGCAGCCCAGTGCTTGGCCGCCTCCACTTGTAAGGAGGAGGAGGAAGAGGAGGAGGGTATCCCCCTGCAGTCTGTCCGCCTTAGGCGACTCCGCTGCGTCGTCGATCGACTCTCTCTCTCTCTCTCTTTCTCCCTCTCTCTTTATTTCTTTCCACCAACGACGGTTAGCGCCTGCGGCGCAACCCGCGGAGTCAAGAAGAGGAGGAGGAGGAGGAGGAGGAGGAGGAGGAGGAGGAGGAGGACGAGGAGGAGGAGAGGAGGAGGAGGAGGAGGAGGAGGAGGAGGAGGAGGAGGAGGAGGAGGAGGAGGAGAGGAGGAGGAGGAGGAGGAGGAGGAGAGGGGCGAGGAGGAGTAGGATAGCGCGGAGGAGACGGCAGACGAGGAGGAGGAGGAGGAGGTGGAGGAGGAAGAAGAAGAGGAGGAGGAGGTGGAGGAGGAGGAAGAGAAGAAGAAAGAGGAGGAGGAGGTGGGCGAGGAGCAAGAGCGCGAGGAAGGCGAGACGGCGACGGCGCCGCCGCCGCCACCGGCCGCCTCCGCCGCGGCGGGCCGTCCGGCGCAGGCGGCGCCGCCCGGGCAGCCGCGGGGGGTGCACACCGCGGCGAGCGCCGCGACGAGGCAGGCCGCCTCGCGCAGGACGACCACGGCCTGCCAATGGGACACGCCGCCGAGCGCGGGGAGGGGGAGGAGGAGGAGGAGGAGGAGGAGGAGGAGAGGAGGAGGAGGAGGAGGAGGAGGAGGAGGAGGAGGAGGAGGAGGAGGAGGACGAGGAGGAGGAGGAGGAGGAGGAGTAGAGGAGGAGGGGGGCGAGGAGGAGGGAGGTGGAGGAGGAGGGGGGCGAGGAGGAGGAGGAGGAGGAGGAGGGAGGAGGAGGAGGAGGGGAGGAGGAGGTGGAGGAGGAGGGGGGCGAGGAGGAGGAGGAGGAGGAGGCTTTTGAATGTTGTCGACATCCACCGTGGGATCGCACGGCAAACCGCCTGCTGGGTCTGCCGCCAAGAATTTATGAGGCACGCCAGAGGCAGGGACGACCCCGCCCGCGTGAGAGCCTCAGGGCGAGGCAGCCGATGCCCTGAGGGGTCCGACTGCGATCGCCACCTGCGCGCTGGACAGGACGGGCCGTCGAGGCCAGCGAGCAGGGCGCGCAGAAGGCACCAACGAAACAAGGAACAGGGCGGGGACGGCCGGGGAGCAGCAGCCCCTAGTCCGACGAGCCCTCGTCGCGGCCGCTTCCAGCGGCACTCGTACCTGCGGCTTGCAAGAGGCGTAGACTATTGCGCACAGTGCGCGGTTCGATCTCGTCCTCCCAGGGAGCGGATCACGGCCACAGGAGCTGGCTGGGTACCGCCGAACCACGGCCCAACTTCAACGGCGACTCCAGCCAACTTCGGGTGCTTGCCTTCGCACACCAACTTCCAGGCACCCTTGGCTCCAGAACTCTGTGGTGCTCCTTCACAAGCCTTGAGCAGATTGCGCGGGTGACCGTGTGCCGAGCAGGCTTTGCAGCGCAAGCAGATGGCCAAGGCCGCGCCGTCCAAGCAAAGCAAAGCCATGCAGCTGTGCCGCAAGCTCGACAAAGCAGCAGGACCAAGCCTGGAATTTCTGATTCACGCCCCTGGCTGGGACGGGTCCAGGCCGCCGATGCGTCTCCCGTACCGCCCCACCCGAGGCACACCTCTGGCGACTCGCAAGCACTGGATACACTGCCAACCAATCGAAACTCTGGTCCACTCGTGCGGCTGTCCAGCCGGGCACTTAGGACGAGATTTCTTGACCAGACTGACATCATTGAGCTTCAGCCTAGGCCACTCGGGCATGAGCTCAGCCGAGAGGCACATCACACATCTGGAAACCTTGATACTCCGATCGAGCCAAGCAATAGCATCTGGCGACGCCTGCGGGTGACTAACCAACGAGTTCGTTGCAACATGATCTGCAAGGTCAATGCCGATGTTGAAAAACTGCTGCTGCTCAGTTAGGTCATCCGACTTTTCTACATGGGCGTTGACCTTGGACGCGACATCGACCAGCTTCCAATGAGGGGGGAGCAGAGATACAGAACAGGCGCGTTTGTAGGACAGGGCACGCAGCAGGGGCTCACTGGCCTGCACCACCACGTTCTTGCAGTCTGAGTAGATTGAGCTACCGGCGTACGCCCCGAATTCCCCCTCCTGAGCAGTCTGAAGGTTAGGGGCCCTGCCAGGAGGGGGCAACTGATACAACAAATCTCCGATCCGCCGTCTCCAACAACTACCACCCCCCACCCCGCCGCCCTGGAGAGTTCGAGGGAGGAGGGGCGGAGGAGGAGGAGGAGGAGGAGGAGGAGGAGGAGGAGGAGGAGGAGGAGGAAGAGAAGGAGGAGGAGAACGAGGAGGAGGAGGAGGAGGAGGCATGATGCAAGAGGACGGAGGATGAGAAGAACGAGCAGGAAGTAGAATGACGGAGGAGGAGGAGGGAAGTTGGGGAAGAGAGCGCACCAGTTCGGACCAGGTCAGGTCCGAGCCCCACAGGTGAGGGCTGCGCAGGCCTTTCGCCTCACAAGGCGGGGGGCGCCGCAATACGAACAAGGGTGGGCAGCTACCCTCCCTTGGCGCGGTCAGCATGGCCCCGACCAGAAAGCAAAGCGGATCTGTGGCGAACAGACCACTCGAGGGTCCGGGTGCGCAACCGAAGAATGGCGCCGACTGCAAGCGCGCGTTGGCATGCGCGCCTCGGTAGCTCAGTGAACCAAGGCGCCGCTTTGGGGCATCCCCCGCAGCGGCCCAGCGCCAGAGGTACGGACAAGTTGCCAGCAGCTCTAGCAGCGTACTCAGCACGTGGATACGCTAGCAGTGGTGTGCTAGAGGTGAGCCTCGAGGGGGCCTGGGGGCTTGTCTGGGAAGGGCCCCAAGGTGAGCAGGCGATCGGAAGGCCTGATGAAGGCCGTTCCAGTCGGTCTGTGCTCTTTGGAAAATGGCAAGCCGGGTGGCACACTGACGCAGCGTCGTCATGCTGGTGGTGAGAGCAGCCCTACGATCGAGGTCGACAGCATGGCTGGCAACCGCGAGGCTCTTCGTGGCACGACTCCGCGCGGTGGCCTGCACTGGAGCCACTCGGATACCTCCACCCTGGTGGGCAGTGCTGAGACCGCGAGGCCCGGGGAGGAGGAGGAGGAGGAGGAGGAGGAGGAGGAGGAGGAGGAGGAGGAGGAGCACCCTGGTGGGGCGCGCTGCGCTGAGGGCCTGGGTGTGCGGCAGCGCCGCCCGGCCGTCGGGCTGTGGCGGCGGCTCTGGCCCGCCAGGGGGCCCAGTGCGCGACTCGTCGCCGATGCCCGCACGCGTCCTCTCTCGGTTCGCTGGCGCCACCTCGTGCCTCCTCGGCCGCGGGGAGGACGAGGGAGGGACGGCATGGGGCTGAGCTGGGATCCGAGTGGTCGAGCCCTCACGTGGCCTGCGCGGTGGCTGCCTGACGCCTGGGGCTGGGCCCCGGTGGCCCCCCCACCTCCGGAGGCCTCGCGTGCCGTCCCGTCGCACTCTGGACGCCGTGGTGCACAACGTGCCGTCCCTTCGCCCCGCACAGCGTGTCGAACCGTCCCGCGCTCACCGCCGTGGTGCTCGGCACGTTCACGCTCGCGCTGCCGCGCCGTCCAGTCGCACTGCTCAGGGTCGTGGTGCTCGGTTCGCTGGTGCTGCGAAGTGTCGAGGTGCCAGTCGCAAGCGAGCTGTTCACGGACAGGGTGTTCACTGCTCTGCTTGCCTCGTTCGCAGATGTGAGACTGCTGATGCCGATTCCAATCGTGATGCGCCGCGCCGTGCTGCTCGATCCCGTCGCTTTATTGGGTGTTGGGGTGCTGAACCATGGCGTGCTGCTCAGAGACGTGCTCGTTGCACTGCTCACCTCGCTCGTGTATGTGAAGCGGTTGGTGCTGAGTCCCGTCGTGCTGCTGGTAGGCGGCCTGGCGACTGGGGCGGGGTCCTGGTGGCCACCCGCTTCCAGGAGGAGGAGGAGTGGGAGGAGGAAAGGGGGGGAAGGAGGAGGAGGAGAAGGAGGAGGAGGAGGTGGAGGAGGTGGAGGAGAAAGAGGAGGAGGATCAAGGAGGAGGAGGAGGAGGAGGAAGAAAGAGACGTTCGAATGGGATTCGAGTGGCCTGATCCTCTCAGCTGTGTTGCGTGCCGATTGAGACGACGAAAGGAAGCCAGCACCAACAAGCCATGCAAACATGGTTACCGGAACCGTAGCTCGAAAACGTTTAGCTCCGGGTATAGCTTCCCCGCACGTCGCGCGCGAGCGCACCCCAGCAGTGTAGCTGAAGACGTGTCGCCCCCGATTGCCCGAGCTGACCCCTGCACTGTAGTTGAGGACTGCTCTCTGCCCTTCCCAGCTGCTCTCCTTCTACATTGCCTCCTGCTCTTACGGCACCATGCCGTGAGTAGGCGGCGCCAAGGGGTAGTCCGTCGCGCGCCCGCGTGCGCGGCGGGAGACCTTCCTGAGGCGCTGCGCTCCCTGATCTCAGCGCCGTAGCTGATATCGGGCTCTGGCTGCGCCTTCCGCCTCTCGCTGAGCACGACAGAGGTCAGCCGATGGCGGCTGGCTGCCGCTTTGCCTTCGCCATCCCGCTGAGTAGCGACAAAGACTGCTTTTCCCCTTCTCGCCCACGCCGCCCACAACACTGTTTTGTGAGATATCGGGCTCTAGCTTCGCCTTGCGCCCTTCTCGCACGTTCTGGCTCCCGTGCTGTAGCTGACATGTCGCCTTCCCCAGTGTAGCTGCTGTCCTCGGGCTTTAACTTCACCTGCAGCATACCAATGAAGTGCGACTCTGCTGCCACCCCCTGCTGCCACTGCCTGCCTTCTCACACTGCCAGCGCGAGCTGCCACTGCCTGTCTTCTCGCACGAGCTGACCCCGGCAGCGTCGCGGCCCAGATAACTTGCTTCTCGCGTGCCCTGGTCCCAACGCTGTAGCTGATGACATCGGGCTCTACCTTCGCCTTCCATCTCGCTGAGTAACGACAGAGGTTGCTGCCATTGCTCGGCCTTGTCACAAGCACGAACTGGCCCCACCCTTGTAGCTGATGACGCTGGCCCGCGCGGCCTTGCCTTTCTCACACGGCGCCCTTCTCGCAAGCCCTGATCCCAACGCTGTGGCTGATGACATCGGGCTGCAGACTCGCCTTTCATCTCGCTGAATAGCGACAGGGTTTGCTGCCACTGCTCGGCCTTCTCGCACACCCACAACTAGCCTAGCCCTGGACGTGATGGCATTGGCCCGCGAGATCTCGCCTTTCTCACACGGAAGTCTCCCAGCGGTGTAGCTGATGGTGTCGGCCCGTGCGTCGCTTCTCGCATTGGCAACGCCGGCTGCCACTGCTTGCCCTTCTCGCCGTGACAGCACTTGCTACCACTGCCTGTGGTTGCGCACGAGCTGACTCCATCGGCGTAGCTGATGGCGTTTGGCTCCTGCACCTGTTCTCCCGCGATTTCCAGGGTTCCTGCCACTGATCGCCCTTTGCCGCGCTGGCAATAGCGGCTGCCAGCCACTGCCTCGTTTGTCGCAGGATCTCATCCCAGCGTTGTAGCTGACGCAGCTGCTCTCCTTGAGGTTTGAGCCCTGCACTGTCGCAGCGGCCCGGCGTCGGCGGTTGCTACTCTTCGCCAGGGGCGGAGTGCGACGAAGAAGAGAGCGACGAGGGGACGGGGGAGGGCACTCCTCCTGGCGGCCTCGCCCGCACCTGATCTCAGCACCGTAGCTGACAGTGCTGGGCGCGGCGAAATCTGTCATGCCGGCCCTCGAGCGCGCCGCCATTCCGAAGTCGGCGCTCGGAGGGAAGAGGCTTTTTGACTGCACTTGGCTCGTTGCAAGTAGCTTGAGCTGGGTGGCCGAGGTCGGCCAGGCGGCAGACAGAGCCCGCCTAGCGGGCACAGCAAGGGTTCTCCGCTCCTGGTCCGTCCGCAGGCAAAAGCGATTCTTCGCCATTGGACCTGCATGATGGGCGGGGGAGGTATTGGCACCGAAGGGGAGGGAGGGGGAATAATATGAAGAGAGGGGATCGGTGCCGTGCGAGAAACACTGAGCGCGCCATCTAGGCGTTGCCCTATGCGGGCAGCGCTGAACGACCGAAGAGCAGCAAAGCTAGCCTCAGGGACGGCCACCTGGGAGCATGGCTTAGCCATGGAAATGAGCGGGATGAGTAGGAGGAGGGCCAAAATGGCCTTGCCGCGCTGTAGGGCGGCCGTGGCGGAGCGGACCAGGAGGGAGAGGCTGGCGTTGCCGCCAAGAGACTAGGAAGCCCCATCGGTAACGCACGTGACCGGAAAAGGGGGCAGGTGAGAGAGCGCCTGTGCTGTGCTGGGCGTCTTGGAGTAAGCGTGGTAAGAGGGGAGGGATGAACATATGGGAGGGAGAAGGATTATCTTGTCCAGCCAAGCAACGCTAGGGCGCGGTAGCTGTCAGTAGAGGTACGCACCTCTGACGGCCAGCATTAGCCGAGAATTGCTCGGCAGGTGGGATGTACTGAGGCGGCATCTTTGCTTGCCGCAATATCGACTCGGCCGTGGCGAGTCTGCGAATTGCGCTGTGAGGAGGGAAGAGGAGGGAGGAGGGAGGGGGAGGAGGAGGAGGAGGAGGAGGAGGAGGAGGAGGAGGAGGAGGAGGGAGGAGGAGGAGGAGGAGGAGGAAGAGGAGGAGGAGAAGGAGGAGGAGGAGGAGAAAGAAGAAGTGGTAGTACTGAGGAGGATGAGGAGAATGAGGAGTAGGAGGCAGGAGAGGAAGGCAGAGGAGGGAAGAAGAGGAAGTGGAGGAGGGAAGAGGAGTAAGAGGAGGAGGAAGAGCAGGGAGGAGGAGGGAGGAGGGAGGGAGAAGGGAGGGAGGAGGACTTGGTGGGGGTCAGATCGGGCGGCCGGGCCCAGACGAACGGAACGGGCGGGTGGCCCCTGGCAGGCGTGTCGCCTGGGGTTTCTCCCCGTCTGACGCCGACGCGTCATATTTTCAACAGCTGCGCGAATGGAGGGTGATTTTCAAAATACGTTTATCGCTTCATCGCCGCGCGGATGTCTTCAAACCTTACAACAACTACAGGGATGGATGGGGGCGGTTTTAACATCGTGGCTCCTGCCGTAATGCCACGCGCACTCGTCTGTCACAGTTACGACAGCAAGGATGGAGGGCGGCGTCTCCTCAAACTGGAGTTCTCGCCTCAGCGACGCGCACATTCGCTACAGTGCAAAAACTGCAAGGTTGGGGGGATAACTACAGGGATTTGGGGGGTCCATTTTCAAAAAATATGGCCATCGCCACGGCGGCGCGCACAGTCCTTGAAGACAGCCCAGCACCTTCAAGGATGGAGGAAACCTATCTCAAAGCGGGGCATCGCCCTAACGCCGCGACCATTCGTCGTGAAAGCTTGCAGTGATTACATGGATGGAGCGCGACACCTTTTCAGACTGAGACTCTCTCCTGAGCGCCACGCGCATTCGTCTTCAACGCTCGCAACAACGAGCATGGACGGCGGCTCATTGCCTGAAACTCTCCCGACTTGGATTGCCAGCAGAGTACACACGCGCAACACCTTCACGTGTGGAGGGCGGTTCATGTTTGAAATCGTCGTTCTCCGAATGTGAGACCGAATGTGAGACCGAATGTGAGACCGAATGTGAGATCGATAGCGAGATCGATTGAGTGAGACGTTGGTTCCCCCTCCCCCCTCACCTCCTTATCACCCGCAGGGTGGTCGTATAGGTTCTCAATTCAGACTTCCGCAGACCTCATAGCCAGAAACGCAAACGTGTGCATTGGTTGCACGGAGGGGCGGCGGTGCCTTTTCCAGACGGGGCTCTCCTTGCACACACAGTCAGACAGCATATACGACTCCAGCGTTCCGATGTCCTTCTAGTTCGCTCGAAGGATGCAAGGCATGCTCCTTGCGAAACAGGGCATCTCGCCTGAATGGCAGCGCCATCGGGTGCGCGTTATTTGAGGAGGGGCGCTTCGAATGGTGAGGAAGAAAGCTTGCAGAGACTACTGGAAGAGGAGCTTCCAGGGCTGTCTTCGCCACGTGACCAAAGCCCGACCCACCCCCCAAACGACCACCTGGCCAACGCCAGGTGTTGGAAGAGTGAGCTCTTACGTAGAGGGCCTCCTGGCACTGGCGAGTGCCTGGGGCTGGGCCTGATCCTGAACATTCGCCAGCACGCCGACGAGCCGCACGCTGAAGCGCAGCACGCATGTGAAAAACTCAGCCGCTGGCAGCAGTCCTCCACCTCCACCTCCTCCACATTCACCTACACGTCCTCCTCCTCCTCTTCCTCCTCCTCCTTTTCCTCATCTTCCTCCCGTCAGGTCCGACGTTGCAGAGCACATGCGCCATCACGGAAAATCACGACCGTAACCTTCGACCCTTATCTTCCTGCGGCGTGTTTCGAGCCAGATCGATCTGTGATGGCGCCGGGACCCGAAACTGGACGAAAACGCCCGGTGTGAAACACATGCAACGCCTGGGTCTCTCTCTCTCTCTCTGTCTTCCCCCCCCCTTCTCTCTGTCTGCCTCCGTGTCCTCTCTCCTCTCTCTCCCTCTCTCTCACCAGGCCGTCCTCCTTCTCCTCCTCTGACTGCGGAGAGTGACAGCAGCGACAGCGAAAACAACAGCGACGACGGCATTGTTGTCGTCGCCGTCGCCGTCGCCGTCGCCGTCGCTGTGGCTGCCGTCGTCTCCGTCGCCGTCGCCGTCGCCGTCGCCGTCGTCGTCGTCGTCGCCGTCGCCGTCGCCGTCGTCGCCGTCGTCGCCGTCGTCGTCGTCGTCGTCGTCGCCGTCGTCGCCGTCGTCGACGTCGTCGTCGTCGTCGTCGTCGGAAGCCGTCGTCGGAAGCCGTCGCTCGTCGTCGTCGTCGCCGTCGTCGGGAGCCGTTGTCGGGAGGCGTCGTGAGGAGGCGTCGTCGCGCCGAGAGGCGTCGTCTCTCTCCCTCTCCTCTGTTTCTCTCTTCTCCTGCAGCACGGCCCCGGCGGGCTCCAGCCTGCGCGGCTACCCAGGCGTCCGCCCGCACCCCCGCGGGCAGCCGGACGGAGTCCTCGACGTCGCACTCCGGCAGGACGTCCTCGACGTCGCACGGCAGCAGGACGCCGTCGCCCGCCTCGAGCCCAGAGCCCCTCGCGTCGCGACAGAAGTCGCGACGGGAATTTCTGTTGGCAATGTTCGGCCTCGGCGGGCCATGGACCCGACAAGCAAACCATTTTGCTTCGAGCGATCCTCCTCCGCCTCCTCCTCCTCGGTCCTCCTCGTCCTCCTCCTCCCCCTCCTCCTCCTCCTCCTCCTCCTCCTCCTCCTCCTCCTCCTCCTCCTCCTCCTCCTCGATCCACCGAAACCTTCAGCGTTTGTTCCCGAAGGTGCGCGCGTCGTCTGGAACGGTGTGCGCGGCGCCCGGCGGCCTCGGCCGGCGCGGCGGCCAGGCCAGGGCGCGAGTGGATGCTTCCCGAAAGTCTAACAAACCCAGGGCCCCTGGCGAAGGAAATCGAAACAGATCCCTGGACCTTTTTCTGCTCCTCCTCCTCCTCCTCCTTCTCCTCCTCCTCCTCCTCCTCCTCCTCCTTCTGCTCCTCCTCCTCCTCCTCCTCCTCCTCCGCTTCCTCCCCCCACGCCTAGCCCTTTCGATCAGGGTCGGCGGCACCGGCCGTCAGGCCTCTCCAATCGAAACAAATCCCTGGAGCGACAAGCCAGCCCCAAAAACGCCTCGTGCGAGACCCAAGGACTTTGTCGGAAAGAACCAGCAGCCGGTTGCAAGAGGAAGAGGAGGAGCCGCAGCAGCACCACGAGGAAGCGGACTACAACGGAGGAGGAGGACGAGGTGAGGCGGAACTCTCCTTCCTCCTCCTGCTCCTCATCGGCCTCCTTCCTCCTCCTCTTCCTGTGGACCGGCCCGCGTGACGTCGTGACGCACTCTACGTTTTGTATGTCTTCTGACCGCTCGTTGCTGCTGCTGTTTGTTTGTGTGGCCAGCCTGGGCTTGGCGCGCATGTCGCGTAGTTATGATAGGCTGCCAGTGCTCGGTGTCTGCTGAACTATTTCTACTCGATCACGTTGTGTTCGGCTCTGTTCTGCTCTATGCACATCTGTTTGTTTCTGTTCTGCTCTTGACGGGGCGGCGTGACGTCGTGACGCCTGTCGCGTTTGATATGTCGTCTAATCGGTCGTTGCCGCGCCTATTTTCCCCTGCGGCCAGGCGCGGATGCTTCATTTGACAGTGCGCCCTTAATCTGTCGTTGCTGCATTTAAAGTGTTCAATTATGTTGTGCTAGATACGGTTCAACTCTGCGATGTTACAATATGATCTGGTATGTTCTCGACGGGACGGCGTGACGCCGTGACGCCTGCCACGTTAGATACGTCGTCCGATCGGTCGTCGCTGCGCCTGTTGTACCTGTGGCTGGGTGACCTCGGCGCGCACGTCGCGCTTGATGACATTATGAAGTTCTTCTTCAAATGTGTGTTCCTCCTTTGCTCACATGTGCACTGCTATGCTCGCATCTGTCAGAGTATCCTTTGTTATGATATGATATGATATGATATGATCTGCCCTGTGGCACCAAAAACATGATACGTATGTTCCGTCGGGTTAGGTCTTCTGATGCTATTATCTGTGATGCTTTTTAGGGTATGCTCAGTTCGCTGTCGTATCTTATGATATGGTACGCTCTGCTACGACATACCTCTTCCATGGAGGTGTAGCCAAACATGATATGTCTAGTTTGTCGACGTGGGGGTAGAAATATAATGCCAATTCTACTGTATTATGCTGACTACGGTGTGCTCTTTTCGTTGTATTCTGCTGCTCCGATAATGTTATGATACGTTGTGCTCTATTATGTCTATTCTGTCCTCGACGGGCCGGCGTGACGCCGTGACGCCTGTCACGATACAAACGTCGTCCGATCGTTCGTTGGTGCGCCTGTTTGCTCCTGTGGCCAGCCTGACTTCGGCGCGCACGTCGCGTTTGATTATATTGTAATACAATGGATGGTAGTGTAATGTCCTTAGTCACATGTGGCTCCCTTCTGTAAAAATATGCTATGTTGTGCTTACCTCTGGCACAAAATGGTTTGCAATATTATAGTATGCTCTGTGTTGTGGCACCGTGTTATGACAAGGTGCGTTCTGTCAAAATATGTTATGTTGTGCTATTTGTGTGATGCTGTTTCCATTAGGTCGTGCTAGTTTATGTGTGTTATGCTACGGTTTGTTATGTCAAGGTGCTCCTTTGCGATCTAATACGTTCGATGATGGTGCAACGCATTTGATGCAATCGTTGCGTTGTTGTGAACGCGTGCTGTATGCCGCGTTCTGTCATGCCTGTTCCGTCATGGCATGTTTTTGTCTGCTTTGCTATGCGATGTTATGACCTGCTAGTCCGTAAAATGTGATGCCGCGCGCTGCCATGATATGCGTTGTCATGTTATGGAATGCTGTGTTCTGGGATGCTGTGGTATGATATGCAATGTTCTGTCATGCTATGTTCTGTTATGATCCGTCTGGCTGTGTTCATGTATGCTATATTATGTTGTCTCAGCCTATGCTATGAGCAGCTGAGCTCTGTTAGTAAGGGTAGTGTTACGCCATGTGATGTACGATCACTCTGCCATAGCATGCGTTGATGTGCTGAAACGTGTAATGCTATGTTCCGGCAGTTTATGATACGCTCTGCTATATTGTGCTGCTATGCTATGCCATGTTCTGCTATGTAATAACATGTTATGCCGCGCTCTGGCATCGCACGCCCTGTCATGGTAGATTATGGTATGACATGTTTTTACCTAACAGCGAAGACTGATAGGTTTCTAGTTGACTCAAAAGAGCTCACAGATCACTCCACAGGGGGGTCCGGGCAGGTGTTGGGGAGTTGCCGGGCGGCAGGGTGCCGGGCTCGTTTTTCACCAACAGTCACACACTTCGTGCTCTTCGACTTCCCAGAACTCCATTCCCAGGCCACATTCTCAATACCCGGATGCAACAGTCACACACTTCGTGCTCTTCGAGATCCCAGAACGCCATTCCCGGGCCACATTTAGAATAACCAGATGCAACAGTCACACACTTCGTGCTCTTCGACATCCCAGAACGCCATTCCCGGGCCACATTTGGATAACCGGATGCAACAGTCACACACTTCGTGCTCTTCGAGTTCCCAGAACTCCATTCCCGGGCCACATTTTGGATGCCCGGAGCCAACTGTAGGCCACTTCGTGCTCTTCGACTTCCCAGAACTCCATTCCCGGGCCACATTTTGAATGCCCGGAGCCAACTGTAGGCCACTTCGTGCTCTTCGAGTTCCCAGAACTCCATTCCCGGGCCACATTTTGAATGCCCGTAGCCACTGTAGGCAACTTCGTGCTCTTCGACTTCCCAGAACTCCCACTCCTGGGCCACATTTTCAGCAGGGGCAAGAGCACGACGAGGAGGAGGACGAGCAAGACCAGGAGGACGAGGACGAGCAGGAGCAGGACGAGGAGCAGGAGGAGCAGGAGAAGAAGGACGAGCAGGAGGAGGAGGAGGACGAGCAGGAGGAGGAGGACGACCAGGAGGAGGAGGACGACCAGGAAGAGGAGGAGGAGGAGGAGGAGGAGGGGGAGGAGTACCAGGAGGAGGAGGAGGAGGAGGAGGAGAGAGGAGGAGGAGGAGGAGGAGGAGGAGGAGGAGGAGGACGAGGACGAGGACGAGGAGGAGGAGGAGGGGGGGGGAGAGTACCAGGAGGAGGAGAACGAGGACCACCAGGAGGAGGAGGAGGAGGAGGAGGAGGAGGAGGAGGAGGAGAGAACACCAGGAGGAGGAGGACGAGCAAGACGAGGAGGACGAGAACGAGGACGACCAGGAAGAGGAGGAGAGGAGGAGGAGGAGGGGGGGGAGGACTACCAGGAGGAGGAGGAGGAGGAGGAGGAGGAGGAGGAGGAGGAGGAGGAGGAGGAGGAGGACGAGGAGGAGGAGGAGGAGGAGGACGAGGAGGAGGAGGGGGGGGGAGAGCACCAGGAGGAGGAGAACGAGGACCACCAGGAGGAGGAGGAGGAGGAGGAGGAGGAGGAGGAGGAGGAGGAGGAGGAGGAGAGAGCACCAGGAGGAGGAGGACGAGCAAGACGAGGAGGACGAGAACGAGGACGAGCAGGAGGAAGAGGAGGAGGAGGAGGAGGAGGAGGAGGAGGAGCAGGAGAAAGAGGAGGAGGAGGAGGAGGCAGGCTGAGGCTGAGGCTGTGACTGCGACTGCCGTTGCCGCTGCGACTGTCATCGCGAATGCGACTACGACTGCGAGAACAGCAGAATTCGACAACTGGATTTTCATCTGAATCTTAAGGGGAATGCTTTCAGATATGCTTCTACACATCGCTGTTAGGTTGCTTTGCCGGGATATTTTTTTTTTTCCTCTGAGAGTGGTGCAAATTGGCGCGAACCTTGCACAGAAGTCTCAAAGCAATACCTCTACCTCGCAATCTAGGCCGATCCGCTGGGAGCGCAAGAGGAGAGGAGAGAGGAGCACGATGTCAAAGGGGAGGCCACGGAGCGCTTCCGCTCGCCACGCCCTCGCGCTGCGGGAGTGGGGCGGGCCGCGGGCCCGGGGGCGAGCACAGCGCGCCGAGGAACGAGCGCTCCCGCGGAGCGTGGATGCTGCCCCCCCCCCCCCACTGCCAGTTACCCTCTCACATCCCATATCCTGATCGCGCTGGAGGCCCGCCGGCTATTGTTGGAGGACGGCATTGCGCTCTCGCAGCCCTCGCCCCCACATGAAAGCAGGGGTATGAACCTAGAATTTCGCCTGGGGCGAGGGCCGAGGGTGTTCGGCCACCGCTCACCGCGCCAACCCGCAAGCGGTCTCTCCCGAGACGATCTCTCCCGAGCCACCGTTAGCCCAACAGTCACAAGCACCGTTTGTCACCGAGGTGGTCCCCACCGCCACCAAGAAAGGCGACGCCGTGAAGCAAGCGATCCAAAAAAATATGCAAGATACGACTCCGACGGCCACGGCGGCTGCACCTCCTGCCATGGCACCTGTCTGTCCGGAAGAGCAGCCCCCGCTGCGCCGCCTGCGCCGCCTGCTGCCTTTCTGCGTGAGCGCGCCATCCATCTCCTTGGCCAAAGCAGACTTGCGTAACTGCTCCTCTAAGCGCCTGTCGAGGGAAGCCGGCAACTCCTGCGACTGGAGCACCTCGACCATCTCTTCACGGCTCACCCAGACGATCTCCGTCCCGACAGGGATCTCGAAGGCCAGAGTATGACCCACAGGTGCCTCGCTGACGAAATCGAAGGCCATGCCCATGAACGTGGTTGGGCTTTGCGTTGAAAATGTGACCGTGTTGTTCTGAAGGCGGTACGACACGCTGCCGTTTTCCATGGACTCCACGCGCTCATTGTCATGAGGGCACTCCTCAGTGACATTATCAGTGTCCTCCACGAAAAACATTTTCAGCATGATGGGGTTCTCTGTTCTCCGGTACTCCGCTGGCACATCCATCAACATTGCAGGAGCGTCGGCGGTATTGGCCCCCATAAACGTCACGATCTCTGGCATGTCGACTTCGGCGTCTGGGTCGGGGGTTATGACTGTCTTGATGATGTTCCCGCGATATTCCACTGTGGCTGTCACGTTCAAACCTCCGTGTCCTTGGTAATAACAGATGTTGCCATTGGGGCAAGGCAACAACCCCCCTTTGTAGTTGCATCCGCTATCGGCAAGTTGGTTTGCGTACTTGCGCCAGGTTTCGTCCGCACGGAGATGGAGCTCGGTCTCCGACGCGATGTGCTGGTCCATAAGGTACTGGAGAGTTACCATGCCATTGCGACTGACGGCTTCTCCCGCTGCAGCGCGACGACCAGCACGCCTGAGCAGCGCCTCATCTGCTGCATTCTGCAGCGTTACTGCCTGCAGCGGCAGGGCGAAGTTGGCGAATAGTACAAGGTGAACGATGATGAACACCATGGGTTCGCTTTTTTTCACGTATGTGTGCAGTACTGAGTATAGCTTGTGCGGCTTGACTGATCTGGAGTGAGTCGATTCACAATTGCTTGAGCCAAAATGGCTACGGCGATTATGGTATGACATGTTCTTTTATGATCGTTTCTGTCATGGTATGTTATGATGTGCGATGTCATGTTGTGGTGTGATGTGTTGTGTTTGTTATGTTATATGATGAATGCCCCGCTCTGTCATTGCATGCGTTGTCATTCTCTGTTATGTTATGACGTGTGATGTTGTGATGTGTATAAATGATCCACTCTGTCGTAGCATGCTTTGCTATGCTAGAGCACTGCTGTAGTGAGCTATGGTCTGTGATGCTGCGTTATGTAAAGCTCTGCCCTGTAATATTATGTTATGGTCTGCTATGCTTGCTCTATCATGTCATGCTATATTCTGCTCACTGATGTCAGGCTCTGTCGTGTTCGTCGTCGGCGCGATGCGGGCGTCTCGGGGGATACTCGGTGGACCTGCGGATCTGGCGGCTACGGTATGCAGAAGAATGGCCAGGTTGGCGCGAGGCGGGCGTCTCGGGGGATATTCGGTGGACCTGTGGCTCTGGCGGCCGCGGTATGCAGAATGGCCTGGTCGGCGCGAGGCGGGCGTCTCTGGGGATACTCGGTGGACCTGTGGATCTGGCGGCCGCGGTATGCAGGGTGATCGGGCTGGGAGGTCTGTTCTTAAAATCGTTCGACCCCAACCTTTCAGGTGGGGAAAAAACTCAGGATGAAAGGCCAGCCCCGGAGAATGGGTCCAGAAACCTGGGGGTCCACGTCCACGTCATGAAAAAATCATGACGTCGGGGGGTCTGGGACAACGTCGGCACGACGAAGGCAGGGCGACGACAGCATCGGGCCGAGCGGGACTGTCCGCATGCGCGTCGCACGGTGGCAGCAACACCGGACACCGACCGAACCGACAGCGACAGCGGAATCGACAGAGGCCGAAACCGGCGGGCTGCAGGCAGCCTCCGAAGAGCGCGGCGCCGCAGCAGCGATGCAGCAGCCGACCGAACCGAGCCGACGGAGCGCCACCGACTGCGGCGCAGCAGGGTCGGCACCACCCAGACGTGCCTGTGCTATACACGTGCGTCGGCCACGCAAGTGCGACGCGCACGCTCGGAGTTCTGTAGTCTTGTAGTCAAAGCTCCGTGGCCGGCGCTCTCTGGCCATACCACTCGGGAGACGACATGCTACCGGATGATGCGCTACATGTTCGGGTCTGACGTGTGTCTCCAACGTCAGCACACGCAGCCGAAACTATGATCAAGCAATTTGTCACCCAAGAAATGTGGGCCAGTGGCCCGGAAGTTTAAAGCGAACCTGGGCATATGTCTGTTGAGAACGCTGGACGGGGCGAACGTGCTCAAGAAACTGGGCCAGCTTTGCGGCACGTTGGATTAGACACGCTAGCCCAGCTTTTCGGGAGGAGGTTTCCCAATCATGGGGGAACCGAAAGGTACCGATGCCGCTACTCCCTGGACCTCCCCAAGGATGCGTTCTGACCAGAATTTCGACGCGAATCCAGCGGTGGCGACGAGGGCCTCCCAGGAGGCCCCACAAGGGAGAAACGAGGAAAGGGCAGCGGAATGGGCACCTTCTCCCTCCTCCCACAGGATGCACAAGAACATCTAACAACTTGCCGTCGCTCGGACGTCCATTTCCCGTGCATTTGTCGGTTTCGTGCGCTTTTTTTTGCTCGATGGTCCAGGATGGTCCTCGATGGTTCTCGCCGAGAAGAAATGCACACGTCCGAGCGGTGCCAAGACAACCACGAAGACCACCAGGGTACCCTCCCCGAACCAGCCTCGATCTTCTGCCTCTGCCTGGAGGCACCAGCATACGGCAGGTTCGTGTCGTGCCGACCCCAGCGTTGGTTTTTGACACCGCAGGGATCGTTCAACCTTGAACGATCGGCCGTCTCCGCAACGTCCGATCGTTCAACATCGACCGATTCTGGGCCGCCGGCGGCGTTCAACCTTGAACGCCCGCGCTGGGGTCGCCGCCGGTCGACACGACGCAAACCTACCGTATGCCCTTCTGCGCCCGACGGTGGCAGCAACGAGCCGACCGACCGAGCCGCGGACAGCCCGGCTCCGAGACCTGGCGCGGCTCGGAGGGCTCGGCGAACGCGGCGGGCGCCGCTCCACGAGCGCCCCGGGAGGAGGGGCAGAAGGAGGAGGAGGAGGAGGTATGAGAAGGAAGAGAGGAGGAGGAGGAGGAGGAGGAGGAGGAGGAGGAGGAGGAGGAGGAGGAGAGGGAGGAGGAATATGGAGGAGGGAAGGAGGATTTAGAGGAGGAGGAGGATTTGGAGGAGGAGGAGGAGGAGGAGGATTCGGAGGAGGATTTGGAGGAGGAGGAGGAGGAGGAGGAGGATTTGGAGGAGGAGGAGGAGGAGGAGGAGGAGTGGGCCCCCCCCCCCTCCTCCAGACAGGGTAGGTCACGCGCCGGCCCTGGCGCCGGCCCGGGCGGCGGGCGCGGCGCGTCGACCAGCGGGAACGCCTGAAGGCGGCGAGGAGGGGGAGGAGGAGGAGGGGGAGGACAAGCTAGGTGCGCGCGCGTCATATCTGACGTCCTACCCCTCCCTCCCATCCCTTACCATGGCGCTGATTTTCTCTATCCGCGGACGCGTGTCGTAGCGGACCTGTGGCTCCGCGCGCGCGTGCGTAGTGGGTGGTGGTGCGCGTGCGTGCGTGCGTGCGTGTGTGCGTGGTGGTGGTGGTGGTGGTGGTGGGTGGGTGGGTGGGTGGGTGGGTGGTGGTGGTGGTGGTGGTGGTGGTGGTGGTGGTGGTGGTGGTGGTGTGGTGTGGTGGTGGTGGGTGGTGGTGGTGGTGGTGGTGCTGGTGGTGGTGGTGGTGGTGCTGTGCTGGTGGTGTGGTGGTGGTGGTGTGCTGGTGGTGTGTGGTGTGTGTGTGCGTGTGCGCGTGTGCTGTGGCATGGCACGGGAAATGACGCCAGCGCTGCAGCGGGAGCACGAGTCGAAACGGGCGGAAGCGCGGAAATGAGGCCAGCGCTGCAGCGGGAGCACGATTCGGAACGAGCGGAAGCACGGAAATGAGGCCAGCGCTGCAGCGGGAGCACGATTCGGAACGAGCGGGGCCCGAAAATGAGGCCGGCGCCTCAGCGAGAGCAGCATTTTGAAAAAAAATGCAGGCGAAAACCCAACTCCCGGGAATCCTGTGTGTAAAAAAGCAGGACGCGGGGGGGGGGGGGGGTCGGCTACTTTCAGGCCGCCATCGGGGGAAGAGGGAGAGTAGTATTCATATTGAGTAATTGTGGAGGGGAGGAGGAGGAGGAGGAGGAGGGGGAGGAGGAGGAGGAGGGGGAGGAGGAGGGAGGAGGAAGAGGGGAGGAGGAGGGGAGGAGGAGGGGGGGGAGGAGGATGAGGAGGAGGAGGAGGGAGGAGGGAGGGGGGGAGGAGGAGGAGGGGGAGGAGGAGGGGGGGAGGAGGAGGGGGAGGAGGAGGATTTGGAGGAGGAGGGGGGGAGGAGGAGGAGGAGGATAAGGAGGAGGAGGAGGAGGAGGAGGAGGAGGAGGAGGAGGAGGAGGAAGAAGGGGGGGAAGAGGGGGAGCAGAGAGACCTCCCCAGGGGCCAGCTCCTCGTCCTGGACCCGGCCTTGCCCACCCTGGGGCACGAAAGCGGCCCCTGGACCCCACGCCGAAAACAACGAGAAATCTGGGTCCCATTTTTGTCCCAGAACGTTCCCGGACATCCGCGAATGTTTTTGCTGCCCAGCCTTGGCCCCCGAGGCCCCGACCCCCTGCCCTGAAGGTAGCTTCTCGCCCCGCATGCAGTGCTGAAGGCCCCTGGGCACACAGAACGGGCCCCAGAGGGCCAGAGGGCGAAAGCCAGGAGAAACGCCAGGATTGAAACACGCACGCACGCACGCACGCACGCACGCACGCACGCACGCACGCTCGCACGCACGCACGCACGCACGCACGCACGCACACGCACGCACCCACGCACGCACGCACGCACGCACGCACACACGCACGCACGCACGCACGCGCGCGCGCACGCACGCGCACGCGCACGCACACGCACACGCACACTCACACGCACACGCACACGCACACGCACACGCACACGCACACGCACACCCACACGCACCTCTACACGCACCACACACACACACACACTTCTTGCGTCGGCGGCGAGGCAGGGGAAGTCTGCGCTAGCATTAGGGCCTTAACGGGGGTATTGAACAACAAACATACCGTCGGAGACCCAGGCTTTCAAACCAGAACTCGGGCTCTGGCGGCCGCCCGGGACGATCCTGGCACCTCCGAAACGCTCTCGGCGAGGCGCAACTGCTGGAAAGCATCCCAGAGCGAGGGAAGCTCCAGGAACCCCCGAGAGCTTAGGAAACCTTGCAAACAACTATTCCAAGCATGCGAACTCTTTCGGTTTCTGCTTATGCGCGGTGGCTGGACGTCCCGTCCCATTCGATGGGGCCGGCTTTCCATCCCGAGTCCTTGTTTGACGATGGGGCCCAGCGAGGGCCTCAGGAGGCCGAAAACGGCCCAAATCCTCTCGTTATGATGCTTTGACAACGCGAGCTGGCCTAGGGAAGCAATTGAACTGGACGAGTGCCCCTGGAGGCCGAAAATGTTCTAACACCTCCAATATTTTTTCCCCAGCGGGCATGTCTGGGACGAGAACATCAGAAAATCCCACCAGTCCTTTGGACTAAGGTGGTCTAGCGAGTTGTTGTTTATTTCCTCTTTCAGAAACCTCGTCCCTTCCGGGAGGTTTACCTCCCCCCTCTCCCTGAGGCTTTCCGGGGCGGGCCGCGAATCGATAGAGCGTCCCAAATGGCGCTGGATGGCTCCAAGCAGGCCTCGGATGCTCCAAGATGGCCTCCAAGATAGCTCAAGACAACCGACAATGGGTCAGGATAGCTTCCGACATATCTCCACGAGGCCCGACGAAGGCCACAGCGCGGCTCCAAGTGCCCTCGG